ATATGGGTACTCTCAATTCCAGAACATCCAAGTATATAAACAAAAATATAAACAAACACTGCTAGAACTAAAGAAAGATCTAATAGCTGGGAATTTCAGCACTCCACTATCAGCCTTGGACAGGTCACAAAGACATAAAATATACAAGGAAATATTGGAATAAACCTACACCATTAACCAAATGGGCTCTACTAGATGTTTACATAATATTTTTATTAAACAATTGTATACGGTCTTCTCATCAGTAGATAGGACATTTTCTGGAATTGATCATATTTGAGGCCACAAAATTAATCTTTAACAATTTAAAATACAGAGTTTACATCAAGTATTTTTCTAATCATAATGGAATAAAACTAGAAATCAGCAAGGAGAACTATAGAAAATATACAAATATACAGAAACTGAACAACATGCTCCTAAATGACCATTGGCCATTGAAGAAAAAGAAATTTAAAATATTTTGAGAAACAAGTGAAAATGGAAACACAACATACTAAACCCTGTGGGGCAGAACAAAACCAGCACTATGTCTGTTCATATACTTTCCTTTTAGTGCTAGTCTGATAACAAAAATACGTAAAAAAGAGACCAAAAGTTTATATGAATGGCCAATGAGACAAAAACTTTGTTTTTTAAGAGAATAAACAAAGACGAATAATCATTAGCTAGACTTAAAAGAGAAGATTCAAGTAAAGTAAGAAATGAAAAGGTAACATTACAACTGCTACCACAGATATACAAATTATTATAGATTTTTATGAACAACTATATGCCAACAAAGTGGAAATGTATAGGACACATACAATCTACCTAGACTAAACCAGGATGAAATACTGGATCATTGGGAAAGTCATAATGTATTTTTCTGTATATTTCTATGTAAAAATGTGTCATGACTTTCCTGACAACACAGAAGATAGGCTGAACAGACTAATAACTAATAACAATGTTGTATCAGTAATAATCTCCCAACAACAACACAAACTCCAGGCTCACATGGCTTTGCTACAGAATCTTACAAATCTTTTCAAGAAAACTAACACCACATTTTCTCAAGCTATTCCCAAAGATTCAAATGGAGAGTATCATCCCAAACTCATTTTGTAAAGCCAGCATTACCCAGATACCAATATCAGGCAGGACACAATCAAAAAGGAAAACTATAGACTGATATATTTGAGGAACATAGATGTGAAATATTTCAATACAGCACTGACTGAATTTGGCAACATATATAAAGACATTTATCCATTGTTTCAGTAATCACATGAAATATTAAAGTTTCCTTAAAATTCTTGTGTTCATTCCTTCCTCCCCCTGACCCCTGGTAACATCATACTTTTTACTGTTGCCATAGTTTTGCCTTTTCTGGAATGGTAATTATTCCAATCCTATTCCAGCTATAAAGCCTGTTCAGGCTGGCTTCTTTCACCTACAAAGATGGATTTAAGGTTCTTCCCTGTCTTCCAATAGTGTGGTAGCTCATTTCTTTTTTGTGCTGAATAATGTTCCATTGTCTGGTTGCATTGCTATATATCTATGCATTCTGTTACTGAAGGACATCTTGTTTGGTTCCAGATATTTATAATGTGAATTAAACTGCAAGTTTTTGTGTAGACATAAGTTTTCAACTTATTTGAGCAAATATCAAATAATGCCAAATATATATGATAAAGAATGCATAACAATATTTTGCAACTCAAGAATAAAAAGTAAAATTATCTAATTAAGAAAAAAGCAACAGGTTTAAACAGATACTTAACAAAATGGGATGCAGGAGTATCCAATAAGCACAGGAAAGATAATCACCATTATCATTCATTATCATTCATTATGTTTACATAAATGAAAATAGAAACCATGAGTAAAGTTAAATATACATCTATCATACAACCAGTCACTTTATGAATGGTCATGCTGCAATCCTATCTCTCCCATTTCTCTATCCTGTTGGGATTTGGAGCACACATGGGCATGTGCCTAGTGTGTTTTTTTAAGCTGCTAGGGCTGGGATTCAAGCTGTGGTCAGCCATGTAGAATCCAGTTCCTATAACCGCTAGGCCATGGGACCAGCCCTGTTCTCGTCTTGAGTGTGGTGGTGGATATGGAAACACAAATGTGATAAAGTTACATAGAACTAAATAAATAAAATACCATACACACACACACACACACACACACACACACACACACACACAAATGTAAAACTAGGGAAATCTGAATAAGACCAACAGATTGTATCAATGTCAATACCCTGGTTGTGATATTGTTTAAAAATGTTACTATTGGAGCAATTTACATTTACATTTCCACCAGCAGTGCAAAAGAGTTCCCTTTTTACTACATCCCTGCCAACACTTATCGTTTTTTTTTTTTTTTTTTTTTTTTTAATCTTAGACATTCTGACCGGGGTTTTGATCTGCATTTCCCATATGATGAGGGATGTTGAGTATTTTTTCATATGCCTTTTGGCTATTCATATGTCATCTTTAGA